ATGGAAGGACACGACTAGAAATCAGTGGTTAAGTTGTATTTACAACACTGTTCCAGAGCAGTTCAACCCAAATATTAAGATGTGTGCAGCATTTTATGGACGACTGTTTCCTGATCCTGGTAGAGTAGACTACAATGCCGGCTGTTCTGACTCACAGACTGTAAGTACGTTTTTTCTGCTTTTCAGACCGATGAGCTTTGAAAAAATCGACGCGTTTCAGAAAGGCGGGGCATAGAGGAGAAACAATAATGTACAGTATGTGGAAAATAATGTGTTTTTTGAACTTTAAACCGCATAAACACATTTCATTACACCAAATACACAAAATAAAGTTATTTTTAGCAACATCATTTGACCCCTTTAAATCTGTTTATGTTTGGACAAAATAAAACCAAATGACTTTCATAGCCAGGTGTAATATACACTTAAATATACATATTTCTTAATGTTCATTAGCCTTTTTTTGTTGTACTGTATAAGTAAATACAGTATGAGTTCAGCCAATCGCAGTCATATGTATGACTAAACTATCACTTTCATTCATTTTTCTGGTGTCGATGCAGGGATTTTGTGGGTCAGTGGGTAGATGTTTGGTTCAGACATCTGTCTTATTTTCTTATTTTAAATAGTTAACTCTTTGAAATAATATCAGATGTTACAACTGTAAGGCTGGAATACATTACATGACTTTTAAGAAGAATTTAAAGACACAAGGCATCATACACTTCTGTTGTTCTGAACACAACAAACTCACACAGAAACTTACGCCTTGTTGCTGGGAGACACATGACAAATGAAAACAATGTGTTCTAAAATTGTCTCAAAATATCAAACAGTATCAAACAGAGTCTGTGACTATCATACACTATGCAATTTCTGTGAAATCTGTCAATTCAAACTGTCCAAAATCTGCAGGCTGGCTTGTTCAGACTGCAAATCAAGGCAAAAAAAAAATTGGGCAAAGGTTGTGTAGTGTATTCCTTATATTCCGGATGTTAAAACAATTTTAACCAACTAGAAAACTATTTAATAACAGTCAACTATGTTTATTTGATGTGAAAAAAGTGGCAGGCCATTGCCACCCCTGGTCCTCCTTGCTAATAATCACGCACCTTGTCATCATCCTCACAGGTCATGACGTTGGAGAAAGGGATCTCAGCCTTGAACATCTTTCTGCAGTGCATGAGCTGCACCAGCAGGTAACAGACTGTCTTAAACTTCATCCTTTTCGCTGGCTTTATGTCTGATAGGATCAGCCCAGGAAAAATCTGCAGAGACAGAGAAAAAGAGGGGGTGGGAAGAAATGTGGAATGAGGAAAGAGAAGAGATTAACTGAATGTGAGAAAATGGCTGCGGTGACTGTTGGCTGAAAAAAAAAGAAGTGACTTAAAAAAGTGATATAAAGAAGACGCTTCTAATCCATCTGTAAAGAACTCCAGATGGACTAGGATGTTTGTAAGGCTTTTGATTGTGCATGTGTGGATCATTTTATTGCATTGCACTCATCTCTCAGATCTGGAAGATACAGTTAAGATAGAAACTCAAACCTTTAACAGAAATAGACATCTTATGGGTCTTAAGGTTATCAGACCTTAGAGAGACTTGTGTATAAACAACAATTTAAACATTTGGGATTGGTAAGATATTTTCATGTTTTTAAAAAATGTCTCTTTTCATTTATTTGATGGAAAAAAATGCATCAAAACCCTACATTTTTTAAATATTATTACAATTTTAAATATATGTTTTTCTATTTTAATATATTTTAAAATGCAATTTATTTCTGTGATATCAAAGCTGAATTTTCAGCATCATTACTTCAGTCTTCAGTGTCACATGATCCTTCAGAAATCATTCTAATACGGTGATTTGCTACTTAAGAACTGTTTATAATTATTATTATCATCAATGTTGAATATAGTTGTGTTGCTTAATATTTTTGTAAAAACCATGATATATTTTTTTCAGGATTGTTTGATGAATACAAATTTCAAAGTTCACAACAAATGTTTGTCCAGTTGCATGCTGAGAACGTCTTTAAGAATGAATACTTCCTATATTGTCCACACGAATGAATACTACTATAACTTTAGCAATAAAATAGCAATAACAAGAAGCAAATAGTTCATGGCTGTAATGTAAATATAGTCTATTGGCCATTGTAAATATAGTCTATTTAAATGCCCCACTTCCTATTTCAAAAGGAAAGACAGCTGCTCATCAACTGACTTCAGAGGTGCTTTAAAAAAGCTAAATGGGTAAATGGCTCTGTTTTGTTGTTAATAATTGTTAATCAAAAGCAGTCATTTTCTCAACCAGTAAAATTACCAAATCTTTACTGCCAATGTAGTCATGTAGGAAGAGAAACATAATACTACCCAATAATATTACTGCCTAAGTTATTCTGGAAAAAATCAAGTTTCCCTTGTACTTTATTTACAGTTTAGTTTAATAAAAAAAAAACACCACATGCCTGAAGTGAAATGCTTTACTATAGTGTGGTTTCATGTTGCGTATGATGTGATGATGGTGTGTTTGTACCTTGCGTCTGTGTGAGGGCACGATGAAGAATGTCTCGATGGCATGTTTGCTAAGGAAAGTGTGTCTCTCGTGGCCTAATCCCGGCTCTACCTCGTAATCTCCATTCAGACATTCCAGCGTTGCCCTGGTGATATGAACCTTCCTGTTGGGGGAGGGGCAAACAATCACACTCTCACCTTTCTGCTCATATAGGAAGAAATGGCATAAATATCTGAACATGTTTTTAAATGTGGTGAGTAACTGACCCAGGCAATCCTCCTGCCTCCATCATGTTAGCTAATGTCACATCATTGGACCAGACGTCATACTGCCACTTGCGGAGCCCCAGAACCCCGCACAGCACACGGCCCGTGTGCAAACCCACACGCATGTTCAGGTCCACCTCAGTCGCTTCCGCAACAGACCTGATTATATACATATATTCACAAAAAAGGTCAACTTTTCATTTTCGATATATGAGTGGTCTTTATACTGACACCTACTGGTGTGGATGAAGCATTAAAAAAAGCAGAAGTTTTCAGTTACAGATTCAGTTTTAGAAATGGGTTCTCCAAACATTTGATACTAATTTACTAATTTAGGTAATACATTTTGCCAAATTTAGGCAATATCAAAATGCTGGCAACCAATAGAGCTTTTTATAAGCCATTGATAGCCTTTGACTGGAACCTTTATTTCATGTGAATGCACATCATTTCAAACATTCATCCAACGTACAATTTATTTAAGTGCTAAATAAATAAATGTTTAAGTAAATTAACTGATTTAAAAGAAAAGGTGCAAATATCAGGAAATTGTAATTCCAAACCAGGGAACTGGAAAGGTCCTTCAAATTTCAGTTTTAATTTGAGTTATAATCTGCTGTTCAATATCTTATTGTCTAAATATTACTTGAAAATAAAATTTGCTTATAAACTATAGTGATGTCCAAGCTGTGAACAAACTGTTCTCTTTTTTATGTTGTCTGTTGTTTGATTGTTTTTTTTTTTATTATTAATTTGTTAAACCTGTTCACAAACCATTGTAAATCATTCATTAGTAGATCAAAAGATTAACAAAAGATTAAACTGATTTGAACTGATTTTATTTTTTTTTTTAAATTGCGATGAAAAGTAGCGACAGCTATTTTCTTCCATACTATGACATACATTTGAGTGAAATAGATTATGAAAAAGAAAAAAAAATGTATACATATAGGGTGGGACTTGGTTTTGTTCATCAAGTTTCGATGAGGGTTATTATAACTAAAAATAAAAATAAAAACATTCTCATTACTTAAAATATAACATTAACTGAAATAAAATAAAATAAAATCATTAAAAATGTATTTTATTTCAGCTAGTCATATTCATTTTGTTTAACTCGATGTACAAAAATACCTAAAACCTAAGTAAACATTTCTAAAAACTATATGGACATTAATGTTTAAACACACAAAAAATACTAAAAACTTTAATTAAAATTAAAATGAAAACTAAAGGCAAAAAAAAACGCAATAGTAACTCAACAACACTAAAATAACACTAAATGATTAGAGATGTCCAGCAATGCCGCCAGAAAGAAATCTGTGGTATATCACAAAAAGACTGAGTTTTGACATTTCGATAACAAAATTAAGGTCAAAAAAAACAAAAAAGGAACATATGCATGGATGAATCATATGCAATAAGTTCTATAGCAAATAGATCTTAAATGTATTTTAAATCACCACGTATAATCACCATAACAAACAAAATCACAAACAACAAGAAAGGTCCTAGAAAAATTCATTGGTGAAAACCTGTGGGAACCCTGAACACTATATTTTCCCATCTAGAAAACTAGAGTCAGGTTTTTTTGCCTCTTTTTCAAAAGCTCTTTATTCTCTCCTCATCCCTCACTATAATGCCGGATCTGATGATTGAAGAGAGAGAGAGCTTTGGCAGGAGGAATTTCTTCTCTGTTTGCTACCAGCACAAAGCAGGAGATCTACACTAATGTGAGACAGAAAGTGTGTGTGAGAGAGAGAGAGAGAGATGTCTTTCTGTGTGAGTGTGAGTTCTGGTCCGCGTATGCATGTGTGTGTGTGTGTGTGTGTGTGTGTGTGTGCATATTCTAGCACCTGTGTGAGGTGATAAGAGACTGCAGCAGTGAAAGCCGCCTTAAAATTCAGAGCAGAGAGATGAATATAGTGGAGCAGGTCTCTCACACACATACACATACACACACACAAATAAAATCACTATATAGCTTTCAAATACAGTCTGTCAGATGATTGTAGCTGCTGCTGCTGCTGGCTGGCTGGCCGGCTCAGTGACTGCTGTTAAAACAAAATGAGATTTGGCCACAAACACTCACGTGATGGTGTCGATCATGTCCAGACCCATCTCCACACAGCAGTGAGCGTGGTCCGCTTTGGGCTGGGTCAGGCCGGACACACAGTAATAACAGTCTCCCAAGATCTTAATCCTCCTGCAATGGTTTTCCTGCCAATCAGATGCATAGAAGCATGATGGGAGTTTTTAAGAGACACACAAAGCCAATAAATTGGATGTGTAGTTGAAAGCAAGTCTGATGATTAATGTCACTTATCCTCCAGGTTATACAGAATCTGATTTCTTACATATGTACGCAATTTATGAGTGACTGAAAGAATGATTATAGTACTGCTAAAACAAACTATTAGGATTTTCCCCTATTTTGACAGTTAATAAATGAGCAGATGAGAGTTTACTTACCTATCAAAATGAAGAAATATTATATACACTTCTATGTTTTTGTGCTTTGTTTTTCACTTTATTTGGAACTTGCATTCCAAGTCACAAACTGCCTATAGCAAAATTATGTATTGATAAATAGGTTTATAGTGAATTTTCAATGTGTTCTCTGTT